CTTTAATTGCAGCCCCCTACACCTTCATTGTGTTGGATTTGAAGGGGTCAACTTAGTCTCACATTGCTCAAAGATATGACATGTGTTGTATTTATAAGTGGGGAAAATCCTCACCTTACAAGCCGGTTTTATAGGGATAAGTTAGGTTCAACCCAAATTTTGAGACTCACATCAGTGCGCTAAAAAACAATTGAGATTATTGATATTGGGAGATGAAGAGAGGACAAGTGCTTGTTGTTGAAGTAGAGGAAGAAAGAAAAGGAGGCCATTGATTGCAGAGTAATAGAATATGTTGGGTTGACAAGCGATGGACGAGAGGAACCAAAAACGGTTAAGAGTCTAACATCGGACAATATATGGCCTGAACATGTCTTTATAAGTGGGGGCAATCCTCACCCTACAAGCCGGTTTTGTAGGGTTGAGTTAGGCCCAACCACATTTCTTAACATGGCATTAAGAGCCTCGTTTAAGATCCGGTGGGACACCTGCTATCAGATTTCTGCTATCAGGCCACCTGCTATCAGATTTCTACTATCGGGCCACCTGCCATTTATTTTCACGCTCCATCTGTCTAGTCCTTAGCATGAGAGGGTGTGGTAAGAGTCTCACATCAGATAATATATGGCCTGAACATGTCTTTATAAGTGAGGACAATCCTCGCCTCAGTTTTTTAGGGTTGAATTAGGCCCAACCACATTTCTTAACAAAAATCATGAAATTGAAAGGTCGAAAGCGATTCCTGTTGTAGTTTTGTTCGATAGTTGGGCTACCCACAAATTTATTTCACCTCAAGTTGCAGCAGTTTTGGAGCTTTCAGTGACATCAATCAGAGAGTTTAGTGTTCGTTTGGAAAATGTTCAAATGTTGAGGTTCAATTGGGTGATTTTTGGTTGAATACCGATGATTTTGAGTTGGACTTAGGTGACTTGGACATGATCCTTAGAGCAAGATGGATGAATAAATTGGAGAAGGTTGTGTTGGATTGGGATGAGATGACAGTCAGTTTCATGCATTCGGGGAGACCGGCCCGATTAGAGGGTCACACTAATGACGGATCGGTTGGAGCTGTTGGTGAATGAACATTCTGATGAGTTTTGCATGGCGGTGAAGAGGTGGACTCGTCATCTTTTGACGGTGACGATCAAGTGGAATTGGCTAAGCTCGGCATAGAGTGGCCAACAATTTGTTGGTTCAACTTGCTTTGCGAAACGGAGGATCATTTCGCATGGCTTAGGTTGAAGCAAGCTTTGATTCAATTTGTTGGTTCAACTTGCTTTGCGAAACGGAGGATCATTTCGCATGGCTTAGGTTGAAGCAAGCTTTGATTCAACGTTACCGTAGTCACACGTTTGATAATCTATTCAAAGAACTGTCAGATCTGAATCAAACAGGAAGCGTGGAAGTTTACAATATGGAATTCTAGCTTATACTTGGGTTACTGAAGATGGCCATAGATCTAGACGCTGAGATTAAGCAGGGGATTGAGGATGATGGAATCCGTGCATTTCTGACGGCTTATATGGGTCTAACTTGAAAATATGTGGGTGGGTGGAACTTGTCGGATTGTTCTGAATCATTGGGCTCAGAATATGGAAATGAATCACAATCCAACTCCAAATTTAGCATCTCAATAAATAGGGTTCAACCAAAAGGGGAGGTATCCTCTCTTGCTTCTACGAATTCCAGACCTGATCGGCGAGGGGGGGAAGTGATGGTTGAGGCACGAGACACTTACCCTACCAAGAATTGATAGATAAAAGATGTAAGGGATTATGTTTTGGTTGCGGATAAAAATTGCATTCCCCACACACACACAGAGATGAATTCTGTTATTAATCTCAATCTGTTTTCACCACAGAATTTATATACCAATAGCTATTCAGTCTAAACATATTAGTTTATATACCAATAGCTAATCTACTACTATTACTCTATTAAGAATTATGAGGAGTGTTTAAATGACAAACCTCTCGTAAAGCTTAGTTCTAAACTCTATTTTATAAAATGAAGCTTATACTCAAAACTTAAAGAACTTTACGAACACCTCTATGAAAGTAGAGGCGATATCAGATATCAACCAAAATGGACTAGAAGGTGATGCCCGATACCTAACACATAAAGATTAAATGAATAAACCAACACATGAAAATAATTTAGGTTTGATCGAGAAACTTATGTTTTGCAAATTACTTTTCTTAACGGGTTTTGTCACTGAATCAACCATGAAAATAGGCAGAGTTGTCAATAGCGGGCGCTCCAGCTGCTATCGCGGTGCACCGTAGTGGTGCGGCACCCCCCCGCGTGCTATTTAGGGTGCGGTGGCGGAGATGAAAAAGCGGTCGCTTCAGCCGCGTTCTCGGGTAGCGGATAGCGGGAAGTTCCCGGGCGGAGCGGCTCCGGTTCTCTTTTTTTTTAAACAATTTTTTGGGGCAAATTACTTAAATGCCTCTGTTTTAAAACATTTTTTGTTTTCTTTCTCCCTCATTCGCTGTGTTTTATCGTGCCATAATTCCTCAACTCTCCTTCTACGATTCTGCCGCCATCTCCCTGCAACTCTCCTTCTTCGGTTCTTCCTCCATCTCATTCTTCCATCTCAGGTAATTTCTTCTGATTCTTCAACTTATTCTACTTCTTTTCTTTCTACTGTTTCTTTCTACTTTCTACTTCTTCTATTTTGTTTTGTTGTGAACACCGTTTCTTTCTATTTTGTAGAAGTCTGTTAAGAGTCCCACATCGGACAATATATGGCCTGAACATGTGTTTATAAGTGGGGGCAATCCTCACCCTATAAGCCGGTTTTGTAGGGTTGAATTAGGCCCAACCACATCTTAATATGGTATCAGAGCCTCGTTTAAGATCCAGTGGATCATCCACCATTTATTTCCACGCTCCAGTTGTCTAGTCCTGGGCGTGAGGGGGTGTGTTAAGATTAGGCCCAACCACATCTTAATAAAGTCAAAGATGAAGAATTTGAATCTTTATGTTTTGAATATTGATTAAGCATTGTTCTTTGTTTGACATTAGATTTTATAAATATTTTATGAGTGTTGTGAAATTAGTTTAGTATTACATGACATATGTTTTATAGATTATTATATAATTATTAGTATACAAAAAGTTATCCCGCTATCCGGGATCCCGCTATTCCCACTTTTCCCATTTCCGGGAGTCGGCCGCTCCGCTCCGCTATCCGGGATTAATAACTCTGAAAATAAGTGATTCAGTGATTTAAGATATGATTATATTGTTTGAAAGAAAATATAACCTAAACATATCTACTAATTCTGTAAAAGCCAAACTCTCATAGACATAGTAGGACAGAGTTTTACAGGGTTTGTCCTAGATAAGGAATCGTAATCCTAAGACTAGTTTTTATTAAAATTCTAAACATATAAACACTAAACCAATCAAAATTACTTCACTTTAGCTAATCAACAAAATATAAAGAATCGGTAATCAAACATAGCCCCAACAGAAGGATCATTTTTATTACACGATATATATGGTACACTTACCTACCGCATATCAATTTGCAAGCCAGCCCTCAATCTAGACTGGGCTTCCATCTTAATAAAAATGTCTTGATGCATAAATGGATGGTGGACATACCCTCCACCTCACTCTTGATCCCTATTATTTTAGAGGAATTCCACTCCTCTCCTAATGGGGTCACTCTGGTTTCTTGCGATCTTACAAAAGGATGGCTGAAAATATATATTGGATTGGTATGAAAAGCATGATTAATTATTTGTAAAGAGTTCAGATGTGTGCCAACACCAAAATATTAAGCCACCTCCCCCTACAAATTAATTCAACCTTTGTCCATTCCTCGCCAACTTTGGGAGCATATTTCTCTTCATTTCGATACTGGTTTTCCCAAGTACTGTTGGTGGTGGTGGTGGTGAAACGTTTGTCTAAAAATCATTTCATATTTCTCAAACATCCGTACACAGGCAAAAGTGTAACTGTTGTGTTTGCTAAAGAGGTAATCCGTGTACAAGGAATTCCTCGGTCCATCCTCGGTGATAACTTTTTTAACCAATAACTTATTCATTATTAACTACTTAAACGCCCGTACAAAAGCAAATTTCTAACCGCACATTCAATGGCAAATTAAAGGTAAATCAATGGTTAAATGAGGTTGATAATTGGTTAACAGAAAGTTTCGTGAAGTGTGTGTCTGTGTGTCTATCATTACTAAAACGGATGGAAGCCATTTATTATAAAAACAACAAAATATAGCAGCGATAAAATAAAAGGTAAATTGGATCAAGAAATTAGAATAAATTTGTTTTTAAAATACTTGTAATATCTCAGCATGAATTTACGCCTTTAATTAAGCACAGAAAATAAACAGAACGGTGACAAAAACAGGCTAGATTTCATGTCTTTCCAGAATCAAAACCACCATTCAAACATTCAGCAAACTATCATTCATTACAGACATTAATTGACTAGATACTTCAAGTAGGCAAAGCAATTTGATAAGTAAATGTATGATTTGCATAATTACCAGGGCAAAGTTCTTCGAAAATCATTACCGAATAATCACATATGAATTCCATCAAGAGCCGCGGAGATAAAAAAGAAATGCCATACACACAGCCCATTTGGGATAAATATACCGATGGGGCATCATTTGTGGAAGTACCAGCTATCAAGAGTTTTCAAGAATGAACTCTCCCCGTCCACTACTGTTTCTTATGTGTTTATCAACAATGCCAAATTCCTGATTCTGAGCAACCCGGCCGGCATAGTTCTCAATTGAAATTAGGCCCTTCTTCAACCTCCGGTGATAAATAATATACAAAGGCCACAGCCGAGCAGCACCAAAGAAGTCATCTGTTGTTAGCTTTACTTAATGGCTTTCCGGAAGTTCCCAACCACTTTTACTAAGAACTAGGCACATTTCCTTTGTAGATATGATGGTTGAACAGCCAGAACGAGGATAAATATGAGTTTCCGGAGTTGGCTTCCGAAATTCATCCGCCACCAGTGTTTCAGAATGCTGAAAGCTCTCTGCCCATTTTACCATCCTGCGAAACATTCTCGGCAATAATTGGTTTGGTTATATTCTCATTATTATCCTTTTGCACATGTTGGTTCTTGTCTGTTGCAACCACCGCAGTAATGGACACTGCAGCTTCGCCGCATATATTTCTACCTTTCAATGCTCTCAAAGCTTTATCTGCATCCAAATGAAAATCAATCAAATACCACAGAAAACACGCTCAAATTCACAGAAAACACGCTCAAATACTACAACAACCAAATTCACAAAAAACACGCTCAAATTCATCTCTCCGGACACGTTCCTGCAGAGTACCGACATACAGCAATATCTATAATATAACACACATTTAATACAAAGAAACTAACAGGCATTTCATTCCAACTCCCAAGCAAACAAACAACATCAAGCAACTTAGAAAACTCTACATCTTGACAAAGACATGAACAAGCATTGCAACAGTAATTTCATCGAACACTTAAAATGCATGATCAAAGTTAGTTACTAGGGACAAACCCTAAAAACTAGGCATAGAGATGATTAACATGATTAGTTCAATGCGGTGATTTGCGGCAAAAAAGTGTGATGTATTTGGCGAACCTTTCGGAAGCTCGAGAGTGGATTCGGTGAGTTGAGTTGGAATCGTGTCAGGGAAATGGTGCGCACAGCTAGCGGCGATGGAAGCGTCGAAATCTGAATGCAAATGGCGAAGGGAGTTTGATATGAAGTGAAATGATACATTAGGAGGATGAAGCAGCAATGGTGAAGAAACGGAATGAGTAGGTAGCAGTGTTGCGTTTGTAGCTAGGAAGGAGGGAGTTATACTTCTCAGGTTCAAATCCTAAGTAGAAATTGCTTATTAGAAAAAGAAGAAAAAGAAGAAAAAGAAGAAAAAAAGGGAGGGAATTATACTTTTGTTTGGTTTACTATTTATTTATTTTTTGAAAAGGGCCAAAAGGCACCAAATATATAAAAAGAGAAGAAGACAGGGAGATACAAAAATCAAGGGGATCAAGACTAAAACCCTTCAATGAAAAATTTTATAATAAAGAAGATCAATGGAGTTCCTAGCAAAATTCATAAGGATATTCCTATGAATCACTTCCCACCAAATAAAATTATGTACTTGTAAATCCAAGTTAGTTAATTTATCACCATAATGATTGTCTTTCCTAAAAATATAAATGGTCAAAAAATTTATAGATCTAAATATATGTAAAGCATTCGCCCATCTATTCTTTAATTTACTAGGAAGAATATAAGGCTTACTAAAAGTTAAAATAACTAACTTAGAATCTGACTCTAACGAAAGGTTATACCAATTCATATCCTTTACAATCTCAATGGCAAGCATGGCTCTGGTTAACTCAACAACAAAAGCATTATCCGGCTCATTCTTCATAGAGAAACTGGCCAAATACTAACTAGAGTGATTCCTGAAAATGTCCCTGCGGGCAGCTAAACCATGAACATTAACCGAAGCACCGTCTGTGTTATACTTTACCCAATTTGTCGTTGGAGGATGTCAAATGAACTCTTTAATCACCAAGGGTCTGATCGCGACTTTATGAGTCTATCGGGTATAGTGACTGCAAGTGCATAAATCTATCACGTAGTTTTAAAAGATATCGAACTCACAAGGACTGATGGTCAAAACTACCGTTATCTAAGGGTTACTATGTAAAGTTGAGGCTAATTATAAATTTGGGTGTTTGAATTTATTCGGGAATTAACTAGAATTTAATAATTAATGACGGGATACCGGTATGTATTTCGTTAACTTAAGGGATTCAGTATGTCATTGGCATTTGTTTTTAGTATTAAAATACAGTTTCGGTGAAACTATTCGTTTAAAAACCCTCGTCTCAAACTCCCGTTTTAATGAATTAGATCATATCAGTTAAGCTCGAAATGAGCGCTTCCGTTGTTTCATTTAAAACTCAAAAGTATTTTTTGAAAACAAATAAGATCCAATTAACTTTAAAGCGCTTCCGCTGTTTTTAAAATCAATGTTTCAATAACCACTATCCGGGTAAAACCTCAAACTTCCGCTCTATTGATTTTAACCTTAGACTTTTTCTTACTTTCGTACAAAAACAATTAAATATCCAATTGGAAATTAAAACCAGAAAAGTATTTTTGTAAAAAATAATAATGGCAATTAATTACCGAATCCTTTTGGTCAAGTTTTACATATCGGTATAGGGAATCTAGCCACACATAATATTATTGTAAAATAGTACAAAATTAAAGCATAGATTCAACAGTGCATGCATGGCGGGAAATAAATAAATTGTGCTTAATAAAATAGGAACATGAATATGAATACAAAGCAATTGATCTGAGTATTGTGTATCCTCCACAAGCCGGCAGGATTGACTTATAGTAAAAAAAAATATCTCGAACTAATTATAGAAATCCTAGGCAAATTCTGGAAGTCTGGAAACAAACTAGTGTTGCAGTATTTCTCCGATGTGGAAAAATACTGCTTAACGGTAAGGTATTTTTTTGCCTAAGTGGTTCTACGACTAGAAAAGTAATGCTGGAAATCTAACTGGAAAATACTAAAACGGAATGCAATAAAATAATTGTTGAACAGAGAAAAAGGAATTGAAAATAATAATACTACGTAATTGTTCGGAGTGCCAGAGAGAGATCAAAACGAGAGGGAGCGGAGAGCTTCAATTGTTGGTAACTGCCTCCATATATAGAGTCTATTTTGTTGAGGAAAAATAGGTAACGTCTCATGATTTACGTTACTGAAGCATGGAGAAAATCCAGGAATGTGCGCTGAGTACGCTCCATTGGTGAAGGCTCCGTAACTGCTTGGATCGTGGGCACGTAATCCATATTTGTCCCGGTCATAACGTGAGCGTGCTGAGGGGCACAAAAACTCAACTTGTGCCGTTCGTAGCGCCTTTGTGGTGGGAGGCACGCTTCTCTGCTACATAAATACATTTTTGTTGTTTTAAAGTCATTTCTTCTTCATTTTCTATTCTTTTTCTTTCTTTTCTTATTTATGCCTTACAAATATTAAGTACCTGAAATATGTTTCAAAAACTACAAAAAGGGATAAAATGTGATATAATAATCGAAGAATCGGAATTTTAATCTGTATAATTTGGGTGAAAAATTCTATATCTTTTCGTGTTATCAAACTCCCATAAGCTTGAACCTTTGCTTGCCCTCAAACAATAAAATCAGTAAAAAAACTAATAAGGCACAAGTTAAATGCAATTTCATGACACAATTCGAATCATAAAAGGCTTCCTAAGTTTTACGGAAACGTAAGCTCAACATAACACAAAAGAGACGATAATAACACTAAACATCCCCTATTGTGCAGATCAATTCCAGTCATGCCATTATTTCTCAACCTAATTCTTTTTGCTAAATTTTACCCGTTTTCATTCTAGCGCAATCACATTAAGTCTTTTATCTTCACGCGCACATAGTAGAGTAGTCGGTTAGTGACTATGATCCTTATAAGCATGAGGTTCTAGAACATGAATGTGGTAACCTCCTTTGATTCACCCAATTGCAAGGGATCGGAATGTAGTCTGCCCTACCAAGTTCAGTACCAGACACATCTGAACCAACTGACAACATGTTTTTATGTTATATCACGTAGGTACTACATCTGTTGGATTAAGCGACCATGTGAGAGTTACCTAACATAATTGGTGCATTCCCTATTTTCTTACAGTAAAGCGTATATCTTTTAAATACACAGGATCATTCACTTATATTCATCGACTCCCTACGTAGTTTGTGTTTAAGACGATGTTGACTGCTAGATAAACTACTCGGGGTTATTTTAAAGTTAAATGTTGTACCCCGAAATTTTCCCTTTATTTTCTCAAGGCATTTTTCACAAGGATTCTCAAAATTCAAGCTTACATAAGTACAATTGGATTTTTCAGCATCAAGTTAAGAGGAAACTGTTAAAAAGGGCAAAGCATATAAAAATAATATTTTTGACAAAATTGAAGAAAAAACAAGTTCTCTTCGATTCACATCTGTAACTCGGTGGGAGAACTGACTTGGGTGTTTTACGTTTGATCGTAATGTTGCGGATAACAAAAGTCGCCACCGACTTTTCTTTTATCCAATAAAGAAAGGCTGAAAAGAACAGGAAAGACCTTTAGAGATGTTTTCTTGAGTTCGGGGGGTAGATTATGAAAAGGGAAGGTATTAGCACCCTTTTCATCCGTAGTTATCTACGGGCTCTTAGTTGCTTGCTAGATCACTTGCTTTTGTTTGAATGTGTGCCTGTGGTGTGGGTTTTAAAAGTATTTTGAAAATGTGACTTTGTAATGGTTCTCGTTTCTATAAGAACGTGTACAAAGTGTTATTTTGAAAATAGTTCAAAGAGGTGTTTTTGAAAGTGATTTTGAAAAGGTGTCTTTGTAATGGCTCTTGTTTCTATAAGAACACGTACAAAGTATTGTCTTTTGAAAATGTTTCAAAATGAGAGTGTTAGTGTATAAAATGTTTTTGTTGTGAGCAAGCGAGCAACTAGGAGCAATCTACCTACTCAAAAGGTCTTAGGTGTTATTTTCCTCCTCCTTTAGATGTTGCTATCTTACCATTGTTTTGGTAAGAAACCCCATTGTTGGATGTGAAGAGACAGGCGTGGGACGTTAGTATAGTCATAGAAGGCAACTTATGGAACATTTTAGCAATGTCGTTTCAGGGACTAGATCGTTTACCGAAGGCAGTATTGAGGGTTATCGAGGGACTACGATCTTCTATTGAGGGTCTTTGCTAAAACGCCCATATTCGAGGGACGTGACTATTTTTCCGATAGGCAACAAGTGGGATTACCCTAAGGGTGCACGTGTGCAAAGTGTATTTGATTGCATGCATTTAGTCTTTGATTTTTGGGTTGTCTATTTGTTATTTTTATCCTACATTATTACAACCATATCGAGTTGCATGAAAATAAAGAAGCAAAAATAAGATAAAAGCAAGAAAAATGAGCTCTTTCGATCCATGCTGGAGCATTCTTTGATTTGCATTTTTTGGCCTCCTTCGATTGGGGCATGGAGTCAACAAAGACAGGTCTTTTAATTGGGCATGCACCAGCAGGGTCATGTCTTTCGATTTGCTTTTCGGTCTCCTTCGATTGAGAGTTGGAATTAAGGTGGTCACGCCTTTCGCCTAGGCTTGGAAACAGCCAGGTTATGGCCTTCATTTAAGGCCTGGAAACAGTAAGGCTCTGGCCTTCGTTTGAGGCCCAGAAGCAACTACACACATACTTTGCCACAGGTTCCTTGCTGACCCTTTGTAAGCATATTGGGTCCTCAGAGTACGATTCAAAAGGCTGGTGCAACTAGCCAATCGAAGAGTACAACAAATCTGTCTTAAAGTCTAAAAATGCAATAACCAGATACAACTACAATCTAGGGGTTAGCATGAAAACTAATGGGTCTCAGAGTACAAAGCATAACTAAACTAAAGTTGAGTTTTCAACATACAGGCAGTCAGAATTAAAAGTTAAAACATAGTCTAGAAGTGTTTACATTTTTTCTTTTACAATGTATGTACAAATGAAGCTAGAACGAAAAAGGTTTCAAGTTAAGAAAAGACTTGCCTCTTGAAGTTCCAGTCGAATAAGCTGTGTATGGTTTGATGATGGATTAGGCTTGGCTGGGATCTCCCTGGAACTATTTCAGTTATTGCTTTACTTGGAAAAAGGTCACTGAATCGAAGGTTGGTATATGGAGGTTAGGCGTGAATGGAAGGATTCACTGACTTCTTTAAGTGGTTTTTTAGGGCTTTGGGAGTGTTCCAAAGCTGGTGTATGGAAGCTGGGGGGAGGGTGAATTGAAAGGATGATATATATGAGTTATGAAGGTGAATCAAAAGGTTGATATATATATATATATATATATATATATATATATATATATATATATATGGGTTAGGGAGGTGAATCGAAAGACTCACTAATGTAATAAAGGGGTTTAATATTTTTTTGAGAGTTTTGAGAGTTTTTAAGTTGGAGGATCTGAGAGTTTTGAGATTTTATAGAGTTTGAGAGTTTGAGTGTTTGGGATAATTTGGAGATTCGTTCCTCTGGCTAAAAAAATCCTCCCTTAGCTTTGCAAAAGTTTCTCTATTTATAGAGAAAAAGAAATGGACATGTTTTCAATAGCCAACTTTGTAAAACAATAAAATATGTAGCGTGAAGGGTACAAGTGGGAGCTTGTTGGGATGAAGAAGATGTGACTTATGCTTTTGATTTTGACTTTGTTTGTGCTCAGACAAAATAAGTTTTGGGGGCTCAAGGAGCTGACTTGGTGATTGAAATAACCTTTATGAAAGTAGATAACATAGTTTTTCATCATTTCCTCCAAAAATAGTAATATCTAATGGATAAAGCTTCGATTATGTGTG